AAACAGAGCCAGAAAAGGAAAAAAAAAAAATTCTGACTGCCCAAATAGGCTACTCATGGAGTACCTTGTAAAAACGTCTATTCTAATCAGAGAGTCAGTCGGGATGATAAGAAGAAGGGTGAAAATGGCCACAACAGCACTAAGCAGTGAGCATTAGAACGCAGCACATTCTGTCATAAACTCCTGAGCGAGACCATCACAGTTCCAGGAAGTTCCATTTCTTCATTCTGATGTGTCCTTTCAGTCCCCGGCATGTGTCAAAGCACCACATAAACATGAATCTGACTCGCCATTCTAGCATTTTTTTGTACCTGATGTATCTTGAAATAAATGATCTCTAGTCCGGCTTTTCCCATTTATGAGCAGACGGAGCACTCTGTTTTGATGCTTCATTGTCTTAACAGTTGTGCTGATGATTTCAAATGGTTGTCATCACTGTGTAATTGTTTTAAAATTGTACTGGTTATAGGTCATAATTGCTTGTAATAACTGCAGTCATTTTCTGATCATTTGTGAGATAATTTCTGTCATTTTAAAGGAGGGAAAAAACCCACAGAACTGTTTAAGTAATTTGCTAGTTTATTTCCAATCATAACATCTGCAGAATTATGCTACAGTACTGTCAATGTAGTCATTATCATTGTACAAATTGGAGTAGAGGGCATATGAAGAAACAAACTGGGCTCCAGGGCTGCAATATTTAACGATAAGAGGAGCCTGTCCTCCAACAAAATACGCCCGGAAAGGTCGTTTGTCATGCAGCTTATTACGACCTAAAGTTACGTTTAGGAGTTAAGCGACCTCTAGCGGTCATTTAAATAACTAAAATCTGGTTTCCATCGTCAGCGTCGCCGTCAGTAAATCCCTAACCTAAACCTAATCCTAATTCTAACCCCAATCCTAACCTGAACCCCAACCCTAATCCTTACCCAGACCGTTATTTTAAGTGTAAATATGACTGAAACTGTATCTGGAACTCAAACTGTAACTCTAACAGTACCTTCCTGCTGCCAGTAGGGGCGCGATTTTAGGAAACGCTCCTATCTACCATATTCCTGAGGGCGCTACTGTAGATATGACCATGGGTGCAACTTCCAGCGGAAGTAGTTTTTAGCAAGTGGCTAGTCAAGAACAGCGGTGTTTCTTTCAGTTAACTTAGCGATTACAGCTCGTTTTTTCAACAAATTAACTTGCTTTTCTCAAAATGTCCCTTCAGAGCTCAGGCACCTATTGTGCTGTTCGAGGCTGAACCAACAACCAGAGGAAGCTAAATTTATGGTTTGATCAACAGTGTTTTGAACACGCACCCAGAACATAGGGGATTGTCCTTGTGTTCAGCGAAACGGTTTCCATCACCCACCTACAGAAGAGGAAGCCAGAATTTGGCTGAAAAACCTGAATTTGAAAAGACCCCCGAAAACATTAGGTGCTCATTTCATTATGTCGACAAACAATGATTCCTACTTTATGGCTAGGCTCAGACAGACCGCCGCAGAGGAGACGCCAGGTCCTCAGAAGCATTTTGACAGCACTGCCAGGAGAGCACAAGGTATGATTTCATGTGTAGGGAGGACAGAAAATTGTTGTATTCGTCCGGTAATGCCAGTCAGTGTAACTAATGTTTCATCCTGTACAGTTTAAGATGAGGCTATAGAAGTAGCAATAGTCTACTACAATTTGAAAATAGCCTACTCTGTTCCAAACAATAGTCTTGCACTCCAAACCTCATTTCACTAAAATTAAAAGTATGGGAAAAATGGATTCACTGTGTTTTACATGTTATAGCATTGGATTAGCTAGCAACTTAATACCATATAATGTAGTTGGCTGGAGTAGAGCTAATTTGACTCGTACTGTCGGATGGCTTAATTTACTCTGTATAACAATCCATTACGTTTCATATGTAGAGCATTATTTACCGCTGAAATATAGTGTTTCCTTCATAAATATTCTCAGAAAGTACTTGTATATCTGTTTTAAGGTACATAAGGTTGTATACTACCTCCTTTAACAAAACGCGACTGACCTTGTTGCTGTGGAAGTACTGCATACGCGGCAGACTTTGTAGATTGTTCATAACCGCAGTCTGTGGCAACGGAGTTGCTAATGTAGCCAAATGCTCTAGTGTGGCCACTGCTTCAGGTCATTCTCCCATTCTTCGATAGTAGAAGGCAGCGGTACCGTAACTTTATCCCGTTTGAAGGCTTAAAGGTGATGTTCCCTCATATATTATTTTCCAATCGCTTAAAAAAAGAGGATTCGCGTGAGCCGCTACCATGGTAAACAGTTCAGTGACAGGATGCAGCGGAAGTTACGCCCAGAATTCGCACAAGGGATCATGGGACGTGGGAAAAAGGTGGATAAGTCCTAAATCAGAGTAAATGAGAACAAGTGCAAGCCAGGCACAACAAACCCCGCCCCTCGCACATACTTTCACCTATTTGTACGAAATTCGATAGGGATCTATTATGGGTCAGTGGCAATCCCTATACCGAATTTGGGGTGAATCTGGCCATTAGTTTTGCCGCTAGAGTGTTAACAAACAAACGGAAACAAACAAACGTACAAACACAGAAACACAGAAACAAACCGAACCGAAACAATTCCCCTTCCCTCACCCTTCGGGTGGGGCGGGGTAATAATCGACTTATTTCAGTGTATGGTTGGAGGACAGGTTGGTTATTTGACAGTGCAGCTCCTGGCTAGCAACCCTAGTTACCAGGCCAGTACCTCAGTCAGGAGTAAACCCAACCTGATATACATCTTATCATGGTGGGCTATGTGAAGTTGAGCTAAGACATACTTTACTGAATCCTGTGCGATAATTTTTCCTTCGCATTTGACCCATGTTTGTTTCTTAGAAGCATTGGGTAGCCACAGTATAGTGCCCAGGGACCAACTCCAGTTCTAAAGCCAGAGCCTTGGTCAGGGGCACAGTTATGAGTGTTGCTGTAAAGCATGTCTTTCATAGAGCAAGGTTGACTGTAGGTAATACCTGTCATCTATTGTTTTGTAGGTTCATTATACGTCCATTATCTGTTTTATCGTACCTGCCAGGATATTGAAAATGAATTTGACGCTGCCTTGTTCTCCCTTGGTCATCTAAATTAGGTGATGAACTTTCATGACATGGGCCATAGCTTCAATAGCATGCAAAATTCTTGTGCCATTTCAGTGCTAATTAATTTTGTAACCCCTGCCTCCCACCCCCAGGCCTCAGTGACTGAGATGAAACAAATTTGTATTTACGCAGCAAAACGCTGGTCATTAATCGGCGCTGTTGAAAGGTGAGATGGGGTGTCAGATGTCAAGGCTGCGGTGATATTTTCTGACCTTTGAAAATAAGAAAGAAAAAAAAACAATAAATGTACAGCTGAATGAAACATTCATGAGCTGGAATGTCCATGTTTCCTTCTTTATTTATTTTTCCTACTCTTTTGGCACTCATATAACGCTGTTCCCCTGCCAGCTGCTCGGCTTTCTGTTGACAGGTTTTTTCGCCTCTTTGACAGAAGTAATTTAGTAGTTCGGCTCTTTGAGACGCATAGTAGCTGTTTTGGCAGAAATCAAAGCCTGCGGACTGTTGACAGTGTGATGTTTGCCCGCGGTTTTCCATGACACGATTTACTCCACTATCGTTAAAAAACGAAAACTGGTACTTGAGCTACTCTTGCGTGTAACCCCGGTTTTTGTAACATATGCCCTGTTCGAGACGTATTGAAAGCCTGTTAAAACAGATGTTTGAATTTAACTTTTCAAAATCAGAACATAAACATAAATGATAAGGGCTCTGTTTGTGTTCTGTGCACTGTTTTTCTGACACACTTAAAGTTCCTTAGGTCTTATAGACTTTTTCTTCACACATAAATAAATAATAACATTGAGTAACAAAGTGATGAGACCTGGTCTTTTGGCCCCACCGAGCTCACCATTTTGCAACCACCGAAGTACACCTTTTGCTTTGTTTACTCACAAATTTAGCAGTACCAAGCACTCTATCAACTCTGGCCTTGAAAACCCTCCGTGTTTCAACCTTGCTGTCGTGTGCATTTTGTCTGATGGTTTTGAGCAGCAAGTGCTTAGTCTGCAAATGAATGCTCATTTTACCAGGAAGCGTCACCGAGTTACCTGACTGATATTAACAGAACATTAGCATTGCGTTCTATTAATCGGCAGAGCATTTCATTTCCAAGAAATATGACAAACTACAAGCTGCAGATTTGCACTTGCCTCTTGCTGTTTGAAATAAATCATTTCTCATGAATATAAAATCGTTACCATGGCAGTACTTTTCCAAAGTGCAATTACAGTACATAGTAAGCATTTTTAGCTTTTCCAAGCACGTTGAATATATTATTCGCTAGCCCATCAATTTGGGTAGAGTGGGTTCATCTAAGTTAATCTCTAATGGGGTATTATTTATGAAAGATTATTTTCAGAAGAAGATAAGATACACTTTATTGAACCCCATGGGATAATTTGTCCTCTGCATTTGACCCATCCTGGTCACTCAGGAGCAGTGGGCAGCTATAGTGTGGTGCCCAAGGACCAACTCCAGTTCTAAAGCCAAAGTGTTGGTCAGGGACACTGGTAGAAGGGTGTAGTGGTTAGCACTGCTGCCTCACAGCAAGAAGGTCATGGATTCAAATCTGGGGCCTGGGGCTCGGGGGCCTTTCTGTGTGGCATGTTCTCCCCGTGTTCGCATTGGTTTCCTCCAGGTACTCCGGTTTCTCTCACCCACAAAAACATGCATCATAGGAATGCTCCTAACAGTACCTCTTAGAACAGGAGTTGGTCCCCGGGCGCTGTTCTGTGGCTGCCCACTGCACCTAAGAATAGGATGGGTGAAATGCAGAGGACAAATTACCCCACGGGGTTAAATCAAGTGTATTGTATCTTATCTCTTACAGAGCATGTGCTTCAGGGTGGGGGAAACCAGACTGCATAGAGGAAATACACACACGCACTGGAAGCACATGCAAACTCCATACAGAGGGGTTCTGGCTGGCCAGGGCTTGAACCTGGAACCTTCTTATTGCAAGGCAACAGTGCTAACCACTACATCACTGTACTAACCAGATAAATGGGTATCAGATTCCTTTTGGATTAAAATTAGGCAAACCACTGTCAAACATCGAGGTCAAGATGTGCAGTATTGGACCAAGTTCTTTAAAACAGGCTGTTGGCCGTGATATCCACTCTGTATTCCCCAGCTGATCCGGACATAACAGAAAAGTATGAAGACAGAGAGATGGAGACCCTCCTCCTTTGTCAAGCTGGTGCTTGATTACTCTACCTGTCCTGCAGATCGATTGTCTCGATTGCCTTTTTCAGACCGTGAACTATAAGAGGACTTCAAAGAACAAGGTGTTTTGGAATTTTTCAACGTTACCAAATAGCTAACTCCATTGCTCTATAATACCAGCGCTGATCGTAGCAGCAGCTTGAGAAGGTTAACGAGATACCGATCACATGCAGGATTTGTGATTTTACGCCGGCTGAAAGTGTTAATAAGTTTCCATCACGTCCGTTTCTCCCTTGTTCCCACCTCCATTTCTCATTTCAGATTTTTCTGATGCCTTTCTCCATCCAGTCATCACTCTCACAGACGCCGCGATTTGTCTTTGTGGCATTTTATCTTTCCCTAGTGCTTCGTCTTCTTTTTCTCCAATGTCGACATCTGTTTAGATATCTCTCTAGCTCACAACAGTCATCATTTACTGCTTCACAACTGTTTGAATTTAGTGCTATAATTTCTGGAATATGGTACTCTATTAACATACTGTATTCCACAATGCAAAGGTTACTGAAACTGACAGCATATAAATCAGTTTATGGAAAAGCAATTGCTCGGTTTTCATTTCATTTTATGCATAAAAACCCTTTTATAGGTGTATTTTCTGGAGATGTAATAGAATAAATTGAACAACAATCTTTCTAGTGCCGAGGCTACTTATGTTTTATGTTTGCACAATAGATTTTCAAGAATGCAATACTAAATGAAATCCTTATATTCGTGCAGCCAATGTCATGAAATAATGTGACTAATTTTACAAAGGCTTTTGCTATAGCATTTATGGTTTTTCATTGTAATGACAAAGTCTGAGGCGGAAGTACTGCTCCATGTCGAAGGCAAAGCAGTCGAAGATAACAGTGTGAAGCAGACAGGCAGGACCAGCCTTAGGGCCGGTTGAAGTGACCCAAAGCGGAGTCTCTGTACGTGCGGGTCTGCGGCTCAAAGCCGTGTCAGTCTGTTTCTCACAGAACCCTAGCTGAAGGGATTGCACAGCACCAGGGCTTGTTACCAGTCAGCCACAGCTGAGCTTGCCTGCAGGCAACACTACTGCTGTCAAAGGTCCTGCTGACCTCTCAGGCTTGGGGAAGGGAGCTGAAATATCATGAAAGCCCAGACTCGTGTATGACGGCAGAATTTCCTTACAGGGACTTGAGGACTCAGGTTACAGTCAAGGCGCTGTGCACCCTTGGGCTTCAACAGCTTTGCCGTTTCTTCTTGAAAGCAAACGTACGAGCCTCTACTCCATCACCAACTGCGCTGCATAAACGGCGTGTCTGAATGCGTCTGGAAGCGTAAAAGCTTTTGCTCGGACGAAAATGGGGTTGCGTTTCCACAAACCAGAAAAACTACGCAACATCCGCGAAATGGCCGAATGAACGCAGTTATCAGCTCGTCACAAAATAGCGATGACACACAACTTTGCTCAAAGGAAGGTTTTATAAAAGAAAAACTAAAATGAGTGCTAAAGTGTCACAAAATGTCTTGGAACATTGGTCCGGGAGCTTACTATTTATTTGCTAAGGAAAACCACCTCCCCCGCACTGATCTTTTATAGCGTTATTAGATTTTATTTGATTTGGCTCAGTTCAATGTGCGAGATATGCTATTCTTCTCCCGTTGCACAGTGAATACAAAGAGACATTTGGTTTTATTACTGCAGTGCTACAGCTTTGAGCCGAGCCTGAATATCAATAAGCTTGTTATATCATTATCCTGCATTTGAATACAACCCCACCCCTGTTTAGTGTTCAAATCACACTGGAGATTACATTCCGGAGCCATAACGGAGATTCTCCTGGTGCATGGCACCGAACCAGCTGCTCTATTAAAAGTAATTAGAGATTTCAGAAGGAACAGCTATAGAAACAGATAATCAGACTAACAAAACTCCTGACTCTCGAAATGTTCATTTTTTCCTCTCCGCTAAATCATTTTAATATGACGAGGAAAGTATAATGAGGATGATTTAAAACTAAAACTGCAACTTTTATTTAAAGTGTCCTTGAAACCAATTTTCAACTTTTCTTTTCTCTTGTATATCCAAAACAGGGCTTCTCAGTCTTCTCCAGAAAGGGCCGGCGTAGATGCTGGTTATCATTCTACCAAGCAGTTACACACCTGATTTTTTTTTCTTTTGAAAAGACTCCAGGGGTTGATAAGTAGAATCGAGTGTGTAACTTTATGGCTGGAATGAAAGCCTGCGCCCACACTTGTCTGTTCTGAATAAGACTGCAGAACTCTGTGCTCTAAACCAGGGAGGTATACTACGAAGCTGGCTTTGTGACTAAGCCTGACTTTAAGCTAAAGTAAACCCCGGAGCAGCTCCTTTTGCTTTAGTCCATGTTCCAGATTTGAAGAGGTTCCTGGTTTTACTAAGTTCTGAAGTCAGGCTTAATCACAAAGCCAGCTTCGTAGTATACCCCCCCAGGGGTTCCCAAACTCGGTCCTGGGGCCTCCCTGTGTATGCTGGTTTTTGCTCCACCCTGGTTTGCAATCATTGGATTTTAGCAAGCTGTTAATTTGTCTTAATTAGGAGCATTTTTTTGTTCAGAGCAGCAATTTATCCTCTCTTGACAAACAGTTTTTGACAGATATGCATACAAACAGTGAGGAATAAATTCTGAATCCACATTGCAATATATGAGTAACAACTGCATAAAAAGAGGGAAAAAAATGTTCCCAATCAAAGGAAAAAAAATCAATGGGTTCCTAATTGGTGAAACTGTGGGAACATGGTTGCAAAAACTAACAATTTACTAAACAAGCAAATGACAGAGTCAAACCTGTTTTATGTTATGTTTTTGTGATTGAGTGCAAGCAAATTATTTTGAAGGAATTCTTATCACTTGTCTTCAGCAACCTAATTTGGAGGTTACTGATTTTCTCAGTACCTGATTGGATCTGTTTAAAAATGTTATTACCTGAAATTGCTTGCCACACAGAAAAAAAAAACTTTATATGCAAGGGTCTTTTATTTGGTCTTTTATTCTTCATGGCACAAATGGATATTTCTATTGAAATTTGGCTTAAAACAGCGAATAACGTATTTAAACACAAAATGCACCCAATTTGGACAAATTAACAGCTTGTTAAAGTCCTATGATGGCAATTATGGTTGGGACAAAAACCAGCACACACAGGGAGGCCCCAGGACTGAGTTTGGGAACCCTTGCTCTAAACAACAATTTCTCTCTTACAGCATGGCAATTTTCACCGTCACCCATCTGCAGTGATCCGATCCGTCATATGGAGAATTTGACCTTTGTGTCTCCACACAGGTGTGTGCTTTGGTGCTTTTTCTCCTCATTAGATAGAAAATGGTGTTTGAAAAATGACCCTTTTCTCAACCATACTTGATACTGCGACTTGATAACTGCTAATTTGAAACATCCTTCAAAAGCTCAGTGGTAGTTAGAGCGCACTGAGGGTTTATTTTGACAGGTATGGATTATAGGATTATTAGCTGTATCCTGAATGAGGGGAGATGGAGTAATTGGCTCAGTGATCTTGTCAGGTGTGTCTTTATAATGACAATGTCACTTTATTAAGTTTTATTTATTTATTTATTGTTTACCAAGCTATCACTTTGTGGTGCTTTATAGAATGGGAGATGCTAAGCTAACGCCAAAATGATTTAAATATATACATTGTGTATGCACCGATGAGCCAAAAACATTAAAACCACTCACACATGAAACAATAGAGCATCTCAGAAGTGTCAAGACTTCTGGGGTGCTCCCGGTCAGCAGTTGTGAGTATCTACTGACTGTGGACCAAAGAGGGACAAACCATAAGCGAGCAATAAGGTTTTGTGTTCCCAAAGCTCATTGATGCAAGCAGACAATGAAGGCAATCCCATCTGGTCCAAACTGACTGAATGGCTACTATGGCACAAGTTACAGAAAATTTTGAAGATACACACACACAAGATATAAGTCACAACACACAGTGCATTGCACCCAGCTGCTTGCAGCGCCTTGTTGCTGCAGACCAGTCTGAGTGCGCATTTTAACCCTGTTCCGCCACTGATCGCAACTGTGGGCACATGAGCATCTGAACTGGACCTTAGAGCAATTGAAGAAGGTCACCTGCTTCAGTGAGTCCCATTTGCTTTTATATCAAGTGCATCAGCCGGATATGTGTGCATCATTTACCTGGGCAAAAATGGCACCAGGATGCACTGTGGGAAGAAAACCAGCTGGTGGAGGGAGTGTCACGGCCTGGGAAAGGTTCTACTGGGAACGTAATAATAATACGTTCTCATATCACCTTCCAATGGAACTTATAGCTCTGTAACAATGTTCCCAATAATTATGTCTTCCCCCCGAGGGAGAGGGGAGAGATACTGTTTTAGGCTCGGTTCCCATTCGCGTTTGTGTTCCCGTCGGCGTTCCCACTTCAGGGGCAGATCCAGGGTAGGTTAAGTAGTTTCCGAAACTCACTCAAACACCTCATTGATTGGCTGGAAACACTTTCATTGTGTTGGAACTCACTCAAACCTCATTCTGATTGGCTATTCATGTCACAAACTACTCACAGAAACTACTCACTTCAAAAGCTGGATCCACCCTTGCACTTCGTTTCCAGAGCATAACTCCAAAACCGTTTGCATGATCTTAATAAAACTTTGTATACTTACTACTCAGGTCCTGAAGTGGTGCCTTTTGGTATATGCCTGTCTGTCTGTCTGTCCGTCTGTCTGTCCGGATGGCATCAATTTTTTTGTCTGGAGCATAACTCCACAACCGTTAGCATGATCTTAACAAAGCTCTGCATACACAC